AAAAAAAAAAGTCAAAGGCTATCATTATAATTGTAGATTTGTCAACTTTGTCTCTTAATTCTGAGAATTTCTATTTTTCATTCATGTGGAAAATGCTCATGATATATTGCAACATGAAAAGAAAGAAAACAATGCTTTTCCAATTTGTCAAAAGGAAAAAGCCTAAACTATTACGAGTGTATTACACAGACTGCTAGTCAAAGTCTAGTTACATCTTCTGCTTGCTGGTTCTGATACTTAAACTGAGTCTTGATTCCATAATCTGTAAGACAGGACAGGATGTACATATACAGTTTAGAAACATCCTATGATCACTTCCATCTTAAAATCCTTAGCTGGAGTCCATCTCTTCCTTCAGCGAATTGTCATTTCTTAGACTCCAACTCCGTCGGAGTTGGCAAAACTTCCTGGTCTTTAATTTCTCCTTCCCCTTTCCTTTCTGATGGCGCAGTGGTGCACAGTGATTGAAGTATCCAGCTGTTAACTGAAAGGTCAACAACTTGAGCACACCATCTAAACAACAACAACAATCCACTCCATGGGAGAAAAATAAGGCTGTCAACTGTGTAAAGACATACAGCCTTGGAAACAATGGGGCCGTTCCACACTGTCCCACAGAGTAACTGTACATCAGAACCCACTCATTGGCATTGGGTTTGGGTTTTAGCTATTGGTGATCTTTTCAGGTGGTTATTGACCATTTGAATATTTTCTTCAGTGAAATGTCTGCAGAAGTCCTTTGCCAATTTTTTAAAAAATGGATTGTTAGGTTTTAGAACTTATTTTATATAATTTAGATATCAGACTCTTATGGGAATACAGCTTCATGAAATTTTCTCCCGGTCTGTAGGAGTCCTTGTCACCCTTCGGATACAGTCTTTTGATGAACAACAGTATTTCATTTTTATCTATTTTGCCTTGTGCTGTTCATGCTTTTAGTGCCGTTATCTAATATATATATATATATGTGTGTGTGTGTGTGTGTGTGTGTGTGTGTGTATGTGTGTATGTGTGTGTTATGTGCCATGGAGTTGGTTCCAACTCATAGCAACCCTGTAAATCTTTATGGGAGCAGAAAGCCTCCTCTTTCTCCAACGGAACAGCTGGTAGTTTTGAACTGCTGACTTTGCGGCCCACAGCCCAATTCGTAACCACTACGCTACCAAAGCTCCTTGCCATTATCTAATAGGTTATTGCTAATAACTAGCTTCCATAGCTTCACCCCTATCTACATTTTCTTCTATGATTTCTACAGTTTCAGTTTTCATGGTTAGGTCCTTGATCCATTCTGAATTGTGTGTGTGTGTGTGTGTGTGTGTGTGTGTATGGTGTGACGCTCCCCCATTTCCTATCCACCAGCAAATCTTGTTTCAACCCCCATGCAGGATCTGACACCTTCTCCACTCTCTGTTTCTTACCTGTAGTCCTATAAGTGACCCCTAATCATCAGCCTGTCTTTATCCTCACCCCCACAGTTGGTTCTCTAGCCGGCAGCAGCCAGAGTGACTCTGTTAAGCCATGGACAGGTCATACCCCTGTCTACCCAAAGCCCTTGCTCAGTGTAGGTCCTTTGGAAACAGGCACTAGAATGGGATTAAATGCACCATGATTTTATTAGGGAAATTGTCTATGAGAGAGAATGCAGAAAGGGTTGGAGAAACCTGGGAGAGCTGGGATGCAGGCCTAAGCCAGAGTGAAGGAGAGAGGTGAGGCAGGTGGGGAAATAGCTGAACTGTCTCATAGTCTAAGGAAGGTCCAGCCAGGCAGCTGGGAGTCCCTGAACCTAAGTTGGTCAGCACAGAAGCCTTGGGTGTCTCAGGACCAGGAGGTCTGTCACGGTGTCCTTGCATGGTCAGCCACTGGCAGGCCACAGCCCATGAGGATTGTTGTTGTTGATGTTAAGTGCCGTCGAGTCGATTCCAACCCATAGCGACCCTGTATAGGGTTTCCAAGGAGCAGTTGGTGAACTTGAACCACTGATGTTGCAGTTCAAATGACTTTGCAGTCTGACGCATTAGGCCACAGGGCCACCCCAGGACTCCTGTACTCTCCCTTCATTTCCCTCCTTTAGCCACACTGGTCTCCTTGCTGCTCCTTGAACATACTGGGCAAGCTCAGCTGCAGGGCCTTTGCACTGCCTATCCCTGCCACCTGAGACTGTCTTTCCTATGCTGCCTAGAAGGCCTTTTTCTTACTTTCCACATTCAGATGGGAACTTCCCAGGAGGACCCTTCCAACTTCTCCACCACCCCACCCACTCTGTCTGCCATCTCTATCTCTCCAAGGCCTTTGGAGCTACTTTCTACTTTCATTATGTTGCTTGCCTTGTGCCCCACCCCACTGCACTAACCCATTGCCTGACAGACAATGTTGCTTAAGAGTTGGATGTTGCTTAAGAGTTGGATGACCATGCAGGTGATTGGTGGATAGTTCTTATCATCCAGGCTGTCAGGGGCTTCATGGTAAATGTGAGCATTCGCCTGGGCTCTGGCATTCTCCCTGGCAGTGTGTTTAGACACCTGTCTTCACTCTGTTCCCAGCCAGTCTGGTCCAGTGCCCACATTCTTGCTCTCAGCCCCAATCCTTCTTGCTCTTCACTGCAGTTAAAGGGGGGTCTTTCTCATCCCTGTGTCTGATGCTGCAGTTTTCCACGCAAACACTTTCTATGAGTGCCCATTGATGTCCCCTTAGCCTTCATTGAATGCCTGTCTCCACCTTGCCTCTCTGATTCAGGTCACTGCAGACTGGAGTCCACCGTTGCTGTCCGTTCTCTGGTGCCCTCGGCCTAGAGCTAGGCGCTCCTTCTCCATGGGGGGTCTCCCAGCTCATGCTAGTGTCTTTATGAACACCTTACCCCAGAGTGCATCATACAACTCTACTCACAGGTACCCCAGATGTGAGGGTATATCGTGTTAGCAAAGTCACTAGGGCTGGACATTCCAGGGTGACAGAAGTCCAGGACCCTTAGGTCTGCACCAAGGCTAGGCAGGGCTGTGACTTCCGTCCGTTCTCATCTGCCCACCTGGAGAAAGGTCTTGGTCCTGATTGCAGACCTCTGCCAGGCTGGTTGGTGACCATTCTGGGTCAGCTGATTCTAGCCTGGGGCCAGTTTCACTGGACAGTGGGAGGGCAATAGACCGTAGAGGGAACAGGCCTCAGACCTTAGACAAATACCTCAGCCCAGTCCATTCCAAACCAGCCCAGCTCAGGCCAGCCCAGTCCCGCCCAGTCCAGCCCAGCCCAGTTCACCCCCAGGCTCAGTCCAGCCCCACAGAGAGCGCATCCAGAAGCCTGGACATTTTGCATTCACACACTGAGTTAGGCAGCCCCTCCCACCACTGAGGAGGCCACGAGGGCTTGGTCTAGTGCCTCTCAGAGGGTCCTATGGACAAGTCTGCACCCTGCATCTCAGTCTAGAAATGAAGGTCACACCTTGAATACAAATTTGACTCCACAGGTCAGGATCTGCCACCACTTCATTCAGCAGTTGCTAATTAGTGGGAACTAGCAACCGCAAAGCCTCCCTGCCCTCCCATCCCAACTCAGTGCTGTCTGCGGGGGGGTCAGAGCCCTGAGGCTATATGGGCTGCCCTGCTCTTCTCTGTCTCTCCTGGCTGCAGGCTGCCCAGGCGCTGGGAGTCCAATCTTGGCCCTGCAACCAAGAACTGTGTGGTCTTAGACGCCTCTGGGCCTCTCTGGGCTACTTTGTGCAGGATGGGCAGCCAGCGGGAGCTGGACATGAGGGAGAAGGGAGGGGCTCTTATCCTATCCCGCGACCCCAGATGCCCACCAAGGAACCATTCCCCTTTCCCTCTGTGACCGGGCATGTCCTGCCCAGTGGTCTCTCAGAGGACCTGTGACTGCAGGTGTGGCTACAGAGGGTGGTCAGCACAGGGCTCTGAGGAACAGACCCCACTCCTGTGTGCTAGGCTCTTGGGAGCAGGCAGGGCTAGTGTTCACCGGGCATGAATAGGGCAGGTCACGGCAGTCCCTGAGGTCTTCCTCCACGAAATGGAACTCCTCCTTGGAATGACCCTGCTCCCCTCCGACCCAGAGGTAGGTCAGGAAAGTCTTCCTCCAAGACCCACCTTCCTTCTGCCTCAGAGACCCCCTGAGCTGATCCCCAGACTGCCGCACCATCCCCTGTCTGATGCCCTTGATGTGAGGGTCTCCCAAGCGCCAAATGGTTGATTACATGGGTTTTCATGCCCGGCTGCCTCTGGGCGCCTCCCTCCCTCCTCCCCTTCCTCCTGTCTCTGAGCACCACCTGTCTCTCCAGCCTCCAACCCCTGCCTGCCTGTTGCCGGGGAAACTGCCTCCTTGGCAACCAGCCCGCATCCATATGATGTACACAAGGAAGGAGGTTCCTGCCTCTTGCTCAGGCTGGCAGTGGGCTCTGCTCTGGCAGCCCCCCGACATGGGACCCCGAGCCCAGCAGGATCTAGGCTGTGCCTGAAAAGAGGGGAGGGAGGCACCGGACTTTCTTGATGATGGCCAGACCCTGTGTACAGTATCTCGTTTAATCCTGCATTGAGTCTGCAAGGTAGATGTGGTGATTCCCATTCAACAGATGAGGAGACTGAGCACAGAGAGGTTAAAGGGGGTGTCCATGACTGGTAAGCATCAGAGCTGAGAATTGAGCAATTGTCTAACTCCACCTGTTTGTTTTTCCCCTACCATCTGGTGACCTCTGCTCTGGCCAAGAGTGAGTGTGCCCCCGGGACACCCCCATGAGAGTGAGGAGCCTCTCCCACAGTCCATTTGCGTTTAGTGTTGAGCGTAACTGTAGGTGCAGGGACCCATAGACAAACCAGGAGCTCCTGTCTGGAGGGGAGGTTACTGGGAAGTGGGGACTGACATGAACCTGTGCCTCGCCTCCCGCCCCCACCCCACCGGGGCCCACCAGTTCACTCAGGCTTCCTGGAGAAGACTGGGGGGCAGGGTGATGGGAACTCAAGACTGAAGTCTGGGCACCTCAGGAGTGCTGGCTGCAGCAGGTGAAAGGAAGGTGACAGGGAGTGGGAGGTAGCCTGTTCAGAGACCAGACCTGGACTCCGGAACCCCTAGTGTGATTCCACTGGCCAAAGACAAGACAGAAGATGTGTGACCCCGGGGGTGCCAAGGTCATTCCTGACTGCCAGCTGGGCTGGGCATCTGTGGTGGCCTGGGGTATATGGATGGACGGGCATGACCCTCACAGAAGCAGGGGCTTTGAACCAGGGGAATGAGGGGCATGCCAGGAGGGCATCCTATTGGATCTGTGGCCGCAGGTGTCATGGCTGGGGGTTGCTGTGGGCCTGGGGACAGGCAGGGATGGTGGATGAAGGCCCGGGCCCTTCCTCTTACCAGCCCAGATACAGCCCAATGGGGCAGGTATAGACACTGCAGGAGGCCCTGGAGGTGGTGGGAGGGAAGTGTCAGGGTCACAGAGATGAAACTGGCACTGTGTAAGGTGGCGAGGGGGCAGGGTGACCCTGGGAGAGGCAGGTGTGACTGGCATGAAGGGGGAGATGACTCCTCAAAGCATGAGGTCCAGGACTCTGCCTGTCCTTAGGCTCCTGTGGGGTGGGAGGCCCAGCAACCAAGACCCAGGAACTGTCCCCTGTACCACAGCTCAACAAAGCCCCTGCTGTGTCTCCCACAGGCCCTGCAGCGCCGCAAAACCGAGGTCTACTCCGTGATGGAAAGTCAGTTCAACAATGACCTCTCCTCGAGGAGTCCTCTCTCCCAGGTACACGGGGTGGACAGCAAGCATCAAGCCTGACTCCTCCACAGATCCCTTCAGAGCCTCAATTTCTGTATCTGTGAAGTGGGAGTTACAGAGAACCATGGGTGTAATCTACTTGCTGTTGAGTTGATTCCTTTCTTTAAGGCACCTAGGTCAGCAGCTAAGAATACAGGCAGCTGGATTGTTGTTGTTGTTGTTGTTAGGTGCCATCGAATCTGTACTGACCCATAGTGACCTTATGCACAACAGAACGAAACACTGCCCAATCCTGGGCCAACCTCACTACTGTTGCCATGCTTGAATCCATCGATGCTGCCACTTGGCCAATCCATCTCGTTGGGGGGTCTTTACTCTTTTTCTCTGACCCTCCACCTTACCAAACATGATATCCTTCTCCAGCGACTGGTCCCTCCTGACAATATGTCCAAAGTATGAGAGACAAAGTTTGGCCATCATGGCCTCTAAGGAGCACTCTGGCTGCACTTCTTCCAACACAGATCTGTTGGTTCTTTTGACAGCCCATGGCACTTTCAATAGTCTCCTCCAACACCACAACTCAAATGCATCAATTCTTCTACGATCCTCCTTATTCACTGTCCAGCTTTCGCATCCATAGGAGGTTATTGAAAACACCATGGCCTGGGTCAGGCGTACCTTAGTCCTCAGCTGGATTGGTGGATTTGAATCCCTGTCTCACCACTTCCCGGCAGGGCAGCCTTGGGCAAGTTACCTTACCTCTGTGTTGTTTCTCCTTATCAGTAAACTGAATAGCCCATCCATATAACCTTGGATTTGCCATGAGGATTGGGCACTGTGCTGACAACAGGCACCCCAGAAGTATGAGAAGATGTAACTACCACCGGGCACAGTACACCGGTTGTGTTTGGGGCTGGCCTAATGTTGGAAGCTGAGCTGGTGTCAACTTGACTGGCTGAGTCAGGGCTGCAGTGGGGACAAGACTCAATTGTGTCACTTAAACCTTGGCTTCCTCATCCTCTCAATGGGCAAGAGATGTTTCCTGGCAACACCGGCCAGTCTTCCTTCAGATGTTTCAGATTACATATGAAGTCTATGCCAGAGTTTGAATGCCACCAAGTGCAAAGTTTTCTTAAGTCAGAACAGGAGCCCATGCCTGCTGCAGGGCCCACCGGGGGTGGGGGGGTGGAGGTGGGGGAGGGGTGAGGGACCTGGTGTGTGGCCTCCCTTGGCCCAGGCTGACACTGTTACCTCTCCCCTTTGCAAAGCCCCTTCTAGACTCAGCTGGAAGTTGGGCTTCCCTGCTTGGGGACACTGACGATGTCTAGGCCATCTCAAGTGGCAGGGGGTGCTGGACTGGAGGGACAGGTTGCCCCTGCCTTCTTGAACCTTGGGGACACAAAGATGATACCCACAGCCTGGTGTGAGGGAGCAGACCAGAGTGGGGCATGGAGGCTTCACACTGCAGGACAAGTAGTAGGAGCCAGGGAGCAGGTGGGCGAGGGGTTTCCAGGCAGAGGGAAACCCTGAGGCAGGCCAGGGAAGTCTGTGTGCCTGAGGGACCAGAGAACCGGAGTAAGGACAGAACAATGGCAGAAGATATTGGCAAGGTGACAAGAGCTGGGGACCGAGCTTTACACGCAGGACTTTCTGCTTGCCTCTGACTATCACCGAATCAATGTGCAAGTTCATCCTCTATGGCTTACAGTTTTGTTTTTCTTTGTTTTTCTCCAGGAGGGAAAACACAGAGCTGAGGATGAAGGTGACTTTGCCATGGTTTATGAAAATCTCTAGCGAATGCCAGGTCTTGCCCTGGGTCAGAGGCACTGGGGCAGCCCATCCCTGCAAAGGACTGGATCAGTGCCAGCCAGAAGACCCCAGGGGCGCCCTATGGCCTCACCCCACATCCAAGCCCCTTCCTGCTTGGCCTGCCCAATCTCCCACGTTCTGCACTCCGGCCACACCCACAGCCTGGTCTGCCTCCTCATGCCTTCTCCCAGGCTGGTGGTCCCTCTGTCACTGGGCAGAGCTGGATTCACTCTCTGAGGACCTGCCTGAACACCACATCTTCCTGGACCTTCCAAACCCGCAGACACCTCATACGGTATCCTATTGCTCTCTTGGCTCCAGCCTGCACCCTGTTTGGTGTGTCCCATCTTCAAGGGCAGCCTGTGGTCAGTGCTGTGAGCCCGGAGAAGTCTGTGAATAAACCAGTGACTACGCAGATGGACCGCCCTGTCACTGCCCCTCAGGTGTAAGCGGGGCATAGACATTGGGTTTCAGCACCAGAAACAAGGTGGGGACTGAGACAGGTGCGGAGGCAGATCTGGGGGCATGAAGGTCACCTAGTGGTGGTGGCTGGGCTGGGGCCCGGCAGCAGGGAGGGTCTGACATCACTGGTGAGGGAGGAGGCTCTGGTGTATTCCTTTCCTGGATCAGCTGTAACAAGATACCACAATGTGGTGGCTATAGACAGTAGAAATGGATTGTCACAGTCTGGGGGCTGGAAGTTGGAAGTCACAGTGTCCGCAGGGCCCTGCCACCACTGGAGGCTCTTGTCTCTTCCAGCTTCGGGTGGTCCCTAGCCTTCGTTGGTTTGCAGATGTATTGTCACACGGCTGTCTCCCCATGTGTGGCTCCCCCTCTTTAATAAGGACACTCAGATCGGATGAGGGCCCAGCATGACTTCTGCTAAACTTAACTGATAGCATTTTTGAAGACCTTATTGCCAAACAAAGTCACATTCATAGGTACTAGGGGCTAAGACTCCAGCAAATCTTTGAGAGGATAAGATTTAATCTCTAACACTTAGACATCTGTTTTGGGGGGACTGGCTAAAGTAGGCAGGAGAAAGATGAGGCTGTCTACTCCCATAAAGATTTTGTCTCAGAAACCCTTTATAGGGTTGGAGTCACTCAATGGTAGTGGATTTGGTGGAAGAAGGACTAAATGGACTGATGCCCTCCTGTCTCCCAACAAGGACCCCATGGTGGTCTCTCAGCCTGACCCCCTTTACTTACTGTGCTTCCTCTCAGACCTCCTCCCTCTCTCAAATCCTCGGCTTCTTCTCCTTCGACCCCAAGACCCAACTGCCCAGGACCCCCTCCAGAAGACCATCCTAAAGCACCCTGGACAGAGCAGCCGGTGCCCACCTGGCCTAGTGTGGTCCCAGCTCTCTGAGGTCGCCTCTCCCCCATGACTTCTAGTTGCATAGCTTGAGCCTCTCCAGGTAGACAGAGGGTTCCCTCGGTGTTGGGGACTCAGGACAGTGAGTCCTTTGAGCCTAGAGCTGAGTCATTCTATAGCTGTGACCACTCACATGCCCAGTCATGGTACCCTAGCCATCGGAGCTGTAACCGGAAATCATTTCACAGCCAGAGGAGCTATGAGCAGGATCATCCAGGCTCTCTGGAACCATCTGGAACGTTCCTCACCACTCCACTTCTCTGCTTCGCCAGGTTTCTCATTTGTAAAATAGGCAGGTTAGTGCTCCTTCCTTGGACTGCCGTAGTACCCAAACCCCAATTGTGCCCAGGGAGCATGAGGAGCTAAAGTGCAGGCCCCAAACCTGCCCCCCCCCCCCCCCCACCTCACAACTGCTCCTGGGCATCACCAGCAGCTCGGCACTTTGGGTCCCTCTCTGCCGGGACAGAAGGGCTGGGGAGGGCAGCAGGCATGGCACACCAAACCTCAGAAACTCTGGTGCCTCTGCTTAGACAGTGCGGGCCTCCCGGGGTCTGCTGTTCAAACAG